ATATATACATATATATATATATATATATATATATATATATGTATATATATATATATCTTGAGATTCGTACTGAGGAAAGCCACATAAAGATGTATATGCTATCTCAATACCGGTTCCTGAGCCATTCCTCTATGGAGTATTGTTGTAGTTAGTATTGGTTTGGTCCTTTGCAGAGGAGATTGTTTTTTGATTGGTTTTCTAGCCAGCTTGCATTCGTACAGTTTGCTGAAAACTGAATAAGTAACCAGTCTTATTAGACAAAACTTGAAGCCCAGTTTTTAGTAGTAGTAATAATAAAATAGGAACAGTCCTTTTGATGAATTTTACTTATTGTGTTTTCAGTAAGGCAACCATGGTCATTTCATTACTTCATAAAGGACAAACTGAATTTTGAAAGATGATTGACACCTTGGCGATGTGAGCACACGAATTCCAAGCGGCTGTAATGAGGAACACTGCATCCTTTTACTGAGTTATTGCAATTAAAGAAGCGGGCTTTCAGAAAATGAAACACCGTCTAACAAACCACACGTATGCAATAACTTGTTTGCTTATTTCTTACGGTGGAAAAGCAAATGGGAATAAAATCCGTTGAGCTCTTCACAGAAATTAGTTACGCTCGGTTTTCACGTACCGCTAAAGCTCACTTTCTGATATGTGTAATCCAAGACATTTTGGTTCATCATTTTAAGCCCTTCCAGCGCAACGCGTACCGACTGAGGCACGATTGGAATCCGGTCAAACAATCGCGCCTCAGCTATGTCATAATTGCCACGTCTATCATCACAACCATCGAACATCAAACTCATTGGTCTCACCCTCAGCTGGAAGTTGTCACTTACACACTGGGCCAATCGCTATGGAACGTCCGACAGTTCATCCCCATGACCAAACAGTGCAACGAAATCGTCTTTCCACGGGTCTTGTTCGACCGAATGGGTCCACTAACTCCGAGCAACATCAGCAGCAGCAGCAGCCGCAACAACAACAACAAATTGTACTTAGCTATGCCAGACCAGGTAAATTACAGAGTTTAATTTGGGCACATTGATAAAGGTAACAGTGTAAGAGTGAACAGGTGAAAATCAGTATCATAATCGGCATGGCCAACATTTTTCACCAGGCCTAACTTATTCCGTCCCTATCATTGCCAAAAGCATCCACTTGGAAACACCTTATGGTTGATGTTTATTAAACGCGAACAAAGAGCGGTGAATTTACCGCACTCAAATCTAATGCAAATAAATAAATTCATATTAGTGTTCCACATATATTTGACTTTTTCTTGTTAGCGTGATATAGGTATATATTGTGTATTTTTTACTTTATCTTGCGTTTTATTTGCTTTACAAACATATGTATCATGTTGGGAAGAAAAGAGTAATAAGAAACAGAAACCGAATGGGACTAGGGTAAGGCAAAAGGAATCTGTATGTTGGTTGCGTAATGTTTGTGCATCGATAGATGAGCTGTCGATTTACACTTACCAATTCGGTGTTTTGACCAGATCCTACAGTCAACAGAAGGTGGATTTTTTTATAAGAGTGACCAGCCGTATCGCAAATCTCACAGAACTTTCTCTCTGTAAATTACATCTCTCTCTCGATGTCCCTCAACGTGGTAATTATTTTGATTTTCTTTTTCACTTGTGAAAAACTTGTTTGAGCATCTCAGATCAACTCATTCAAAGTGAACAAAACAGTCATTTGGATCGGTATATCCTGTTGATAAGGTGGTACTGAAACACCAATGATCACGATGTGCCTTTGTCATTCTTATCATTTACTTCATGCAAACTGAGTGCTTTAGATGTTGATGGAGGTGCATTCGTCACGTGAAGTTGTGGCGTATCTAACCTCTGGAACCCCACGGAAACATTTCATGGTTGTTGAAAGTCACCAGTCGTGCATGTTCACTAAGGTTTTTGGGATTCGAACCCAGACACAAAGGTTTGGTAAGTGAGACGTTAATTACTTGTGCAATTCGAGCAGACCGTTAAATTGCTACACTGTAAGGCTACGGGATATATCGCGCATAGGTCACTGTTGATTGTGAAACCGGAGTTTATCAAACTTTAAATGTACGACTTGTGGAAGCCAATAGAAACCTATTTTCATGCGGGAGAACTTTTGCGTTGGCGTCGTACATCACAATCATTATAAGATAATTCACCCACTGTTTCTGATTTTGCTTTTGATAACTTCCAGCCCTTGATTCTACATACCCGCGGCAGACCGCAGTGTACGAGCGTCGGCACAATGGTGCCGTACCGTCTCACGTTCCAATTGAACGGATGGAGTTCGATTTGGATGGCACTGTGCGGCATCTCACATCATCGCAACGTGTTCGACTCACTCAAGATCTGGCAATTGTCGAGACCAATGTCAACGTGTTGAACGATATGCTTGCCGAATTGAGACCGGATACTGTTGGACCGGATGATTTGACCTTACTACAGGTAGGTATAGGTGGACCTGTACAGATTTTTGGCAATGAGCAGCAAATTCCTCGTCTGTAGGCACTACCCCGTGTAAATTTACTTGAAGCTTGAAATTTCGAATTTGGTTTTGGTAGATTTTTCACTTCTTTTTCTTAAAAAATATACGATTAACTCTCGAAAGTATATCATCAAATGGGTCGGTTTAAAACTAGAAGTTGATTGTCACTTGTTCGAGTTGTACTTTTTGGCTAGGCTGACTTACCGGAGCGTTCGATGACCGTGGGTTTTCTCAGATCAAACCTCACAAGTCACGCGTCATTCTTTCCACTTCATATAGTCATGCATGCAGTTAAATTAAAAAAGATCTACTTTATTGAAAATAAACTAAATGTTTTATGAGCCTTGACGGGCTTACTTCGATCGTTTGTTGGAGATAAAATAGCATCACTGAATCCAGTCAACGTTTTTCTTGTTCACGGAGGTTTTGAATCTTTGTGGGGAAAAGACAAACAGCACAATCAATTCAGTTAAACGTTGAACTCGACGGGATAAGTAAGCAATATTGCAAGTGCCGTTGCAAAATTCATATCTGGGTTGATTTCACCGAATCTCATTAGATGGGTCCAACATACAATACTGTGTTCTATTATTGACAGCGGTAGTGGTGGTCGTGTGGTCGAGTGACTAAGGCAATCCAACTGACGACTTGGTTGTTCTGAGTTTGAATCACAACGCTACTGACCATCTACCTCAATTCGGTATTTCCCCAGGCAGAATTTGTATGGTTGCGCCTCCCCTTCCCGATAATTGACGCTACATTTGCATACTCAGTGGACAAGAAGGGAAGTAAATCCAATAGTTACTCTGGAATATAGCAATTACTTAGGCGCAGCTAACACATAGGGTATTCTTACTAGCTCGAGGATAATTTGACCCTATTGGCTCCCTTCAAAGAATTCTTGAGCGCAAATATTCCTTCAATGACCTCACTAACTCTGTCTTTGAGCATTTAGAGATGGCCTTTGGTTCAGTCAACTGCACGGTAGTCTGGCTGTATCTTTTTTAAAAGGTCTACCAGAGAAATTCTTTTTATTTCTACGGTCCCTACATACAACTGGTTAAAACCACTCATAAGCTTATTTTTTCATCACCATTTATACTTTCAATTTGCAATAGGTATGACTCTAAGAACGATCCTGTGGAGATAGCCTGGTTGATTTTCTTCCAGGTCTGAAGTTGTCTGATATGAAGTTCGCGGATCCAGACCAACGTAGCATGTTGAATATAGGTTCGACATGCACCTGGCACCTTAAAAAAATGTTTTTACACGATTGAGATGGTTATGTTCTCACATTCACTCCGACGGAAAGCGCATTGAGGGAGTCGAAAATGCTAGCATACTGGACGCACGTGGAGGGCTCCTTTGGCGTTGGTCGATTTGAGGTACCCATGGCGCTACAACGGCGTTCTGTTTTCCCTAAAGGGTTACTTTTTATGTTCGACCGTTGTGGTGTTGAGTCTTGACCGCCGAGGAAGAAGGATAAAGGGAGACCACCAGTGTTTGAATACCACCGTCTATGCAGCATTTTTTGCGTCTGACAAGGCAATCGGATAAAAAGAGCAGAGATCTAACGCAAAGTTTTAGTCACTTGCAGTAGCGAATCGAAGCAAGCTATTGACGGTCAAAGATCACGGCATATGAACCATGTGTTGGACAAGCCAGAAAATTGAATTTGTTGGCGCGTGATGTTTTCTGTTGAAATTCGTGTGTGGAAGAACGATAAAGGTGTTAGACCCGGTATAAGGGTATGATAAAATCCGACCAGCGTTCTCGATTACACAAGCCGCGTCAGATTTACCTATTCTGGACCTTGTAAACTACCCAATCAATGTTCAAAGACGCTGAATGATGCGGTCAACTGTCGTTACCATTAGCGCTCGTACATCTACCTACTTTCTATCCGGATCTAGTTCACTTTTTTTCCGTATCTTTATTTCAGTAGGAATTTCTTCTCATCGATAATCGGAAGTTAGCACCGAAAACCGTGGCTCAGTACTGATTAGAAACGAACAGTTCCTTCTGTTTACAAAAGTTTGGTCTTCTGTTACTGAATGAGAAGTCTTTCCAGAAACTGGAGCAATCAAGCGTCGCTTGTAGTAGTAGTTAAAAAATGAGTAACATTGCAGTTGACTTTGTAACTTGTTTTGAATAGGTGATGTTACGTTATTATTGTTATTTCAACATAATAATGTATGTAAGATGCACTTACGAGATGCAGCAAAATCCATTCCGGATATCTGCCGTGCAAAGTCCCTGTTTTTTCCCCAGTTCAAGTTTGTTCTGAATGAGGGCTTCTGCCAGGTATTTCGTTGGTGCTGTCTGGACTAAATTGAAGCTTTCCTCACAACCAAGCATTTATTGGCTGATAAAGAATGCTCATTTTATACCAAGGCCTATTATGAACTCTTGCGTTAGGTTACCTCATTTATTTACTATGCAAAGATTGGTTACCGACCTGGGTTGCGGTGCTGTTTTCCTAAATAGACATCAAAAATTAGGTTCTTTAAGGTGAAACGAACGAAATTATTATGAATGGTTATCCATTCATTCTTATTTAACTTACTTGCGACCGGAGATTATGGGATAATTGAAAATAATTTGAACTTCCCATCCTTCAGACTTCTTCACGCACAATCCTCCGTTCATTCAGTCAACCGTTCACTCAGGAAGCCCCAAACTGCAGTTTTGCTTTGATTAGAGCATATCCACTGTCCTTTTCGGACTCTGAACCTCCAAAAGACGCGTCTGTCCCCTCTGGAGTGAGTAGCCTAAACTCGGAGCTGGTAGAAGTTTCCAGTTTACGTTTAGATCAGATGTCGTCCTTGGGGAAGAAGTGAAGATGGAGTCCGAAGGATGGTCAGTTCAAATCAATAACTCACACCACTACTGACAAGTAACTGTGAGTTAAATGCGAATTAAAAAGCTATGGTCCAGCAACTTTAATCGGGGGATTGCATCCCAACTTGTGAGGTAGCCCTGAATTGGTGGGAGGCTTTCTATTAGAGCCCATAAACATTATACTGCGTCTCCTTTTGTTGCTGTCGGTTCAAAGGAAATGGCTGAATATTTCCAAAGATAAAATCTAAAAATATATAAAGTGGTTGACCCTATGTGAGCTTGTTGGACCAGTAGCGACATGCGATCTCTTCCATGCAATGGGTCTCAAATTCAAAGCCCAATCAGAATGGTGATTATATACTACTGATGAGCCCTAATGAGAGCGAAAGTCATTCATTTTCAGCTTTCCAATTTTAATTATCATTTTCGATCAAGGAGTTCATCAATTTCACGACCTTTCAATGATTGTATCAGAGGATTAGGCAGCTGCCTTGTGTTGTTTGGACAACTGATCAACAGGGCATCAATTTTACGTCCCCGATGAGAACAAAGAATCTTCTGCTTGTGTTGAAACCAATGGGTCTAATGATTTATACGTCAAGTGATCTAAGTAGTCATTATTTATCGACTAACATAGCTGATTTCATTTCCGGCTATTAATGAGGGAGAGAATATAAAGTCATCTCAGTACAGACACTCTGGATGGGTTTTTATATGTTCTCATGCAAGTGAATTGAAAGCTTTGTGACAAACTCAGGCAAACCGTACGAAGACATTAGCGCGAATGGAGTTGTGCTCAGCACCGTTACCGTTTTCGACTAATCGATTTGTGAGTTTATTCTATTTCACCGAAATCTTCTCGATAGTGGTTAGGAGTGCACGATTTTCGTCTCCTTTTGTATATATATATATATATATATATATATATATATATATATATATATACAAAAGGAGACGAAAATCGTGCACTCCTAACNCGAATCACTTTTTTGATTCGGAAGTTAAAACGACAGTGTATTCTTTTTTGTCGTGAAATTGCATACAACTGCACTTCCGCTCATCTGCAAGTCTATTCGGCTTTCCTGAAACGAGTATCATTACCTTTTGCCATCACATACCAACCACTGGCCTTGTTTATCTGATTTACACAAACAGCCTTTGCACAACCTTTTGTTACATAGTTTCACACGAATTTTCCGATTGATTCAAAACATCTTTTCAAAATATGCATCACACTTAAAAATCAGACCCAGTTCTAGTCGCACGCGAACCCTCATATCGTAGTTTGTATCGCGATTACGGAGTCTGGATTTTGACAATACAAAAATTAGTTTTTGGTTTGCCACGACCGGAGTGACTGCTTTCATGTTTTGCTTGTAAAATGACAACGATATTGTTCCGGTGTTTTTTCTCAATGTAACGGAGACCTTGCATTTTGTTGATTTAGACGCTGACATGAATGCTTGTTCAAGTCACGACAACGCAGTGCGCACGGACAAGTGTCTATAATGTAAGCACGAGAATAAACGGAAGGGTATCAGTCCAGACGAAATGCCTTTTGTAGCCGGTTTAGTTGTGTGTATTTGGAAGGGTTTTGTTAGGCCATAGGAAATGTTCGGTATTATTTCGATAAACTGATCTTAGATTCTCCCTTTTAGTTTCTCTATGGAAACTAGAACAACATTGTGTGAGTGATAGTAGTAATTTTGTTTTTGTGGTTCAGTGAGATACTACTTTCCGTGTAACAGATGTACTATACGAATTAGTACGAACAGTGATACATGGAAAAAAAAGAGAGTGATGGGGTTCGAATACACGAACTAACGCATTGTTATAAGTAACCGCGTAGTGGCATAAGTTCAAATTGAGCGGCGAGTAAAACAAAGTGTGCTCATCCCAAAGCTGGAGAAAAGTGGATAGAGGCGAAGTGATACTCCAGCTGACAGCCAAATACAAACTCCCACTGCCACTATACTGGCAAACAGATGAAGAAAAGCGTGGGAAAAAATGAATAGGCTAGTGAATGAACTGTAAATGTTCAAGACAAGTTTAAGTTTTATCAATGAATATCCTTGATAAGGGGTTTCGGGATATGCGACATGGTAGTTGGAATGAGTGG